GATGAACCAAGTTTAGTATCGGAGCTCCCAATCACCATAAGGCAGTATGAGTCATTTGACTGCCAGCCCATTACTAGACTTTCAGAACAAGCCAAGTGGCATTTTAAGTAAAAATTAATAGGGAAAGGATTATAGACTGCACCACCCTCCAATCTTTCACTAGATTGTAGATTACAGGGAAATATTACCATATGCAGTAAAAGCTGTTTTATCCGGCATGTTAGGAGAATGGGAGAGTGCCAGTAAGTGAAAAATGCCGGTTAACTAAGAGGGAGGGAGTTTGGGTGCGGGAGGGGGTGTGGGAGGGAATTTGAGTGCAGCAGGGGGCTTGGGGCAGTGGGTTGAGGTGTGGGAAAGGGCTCAGGGTGCCGGATCCGTGGGGCACTCACCTCAGGCAGCTCCCCACAAACGGCAACCTGTCCCAGATGCTCCTAGGCGGAGGCAGGGCAGGTGGCTCTGTGTGCTGCCCCTACCCGGCCCCAAGTGCTGGCTCTGCAGCTCCCATTGGCCAGGAACTGCGGCCAACAGGAACTGCGGGGGCAGCGCCTGCGGGCGGAAACAGCGTGCAGAGCCACCTAGCCACTCCTCCGCCTAGGACCAGCAGGGACAGGTTGCCACTTGTGGGGAGCTGCCCGAGGTGAGCACCCCCCAGATCCAGCACCCGGAATCCCTCCCGCCTCCCAACCCCACACCCTCTCCCGCACTTTGAACTTCTCATGGTGTTCCTCCGCCTAGGAGCAGCAGGGACACGTCACCGCTTCTAGGGAGCCACGCGAAGCCAGGTAGGGAGCCTGCCGGCCCCACACCAAGCGGACTATAAACCGGACTTTCTATGAAGATTAGAAATGCCGGTATATAGAGCTGTCCGGTTGGTATAGGGACGGATAACAGCTTTTACTGTAAATGTATGTATATGGTGTGTTGGGTCCTTCAATACACACACACACACACCTTCCTCACACCACATTACCAACAATACATTTGGCAATATATTAACAATGGGGTTTGAGGGTGGAAGGGAATGGGATAATCCATTTTTGTTTCGATTGTTTACCCAAAACAGTTTCAACAGATTTACAAAAAAGTACATTCAGGGCCTGAAGCATTAACATCAGTGGTGGGCAACCTGCAGCCTGCACACGGCCCGTCAGGGTAATCCGCAGGTGGGCCACAAGACAGTTTGTTTAGGAAGCGGCTGCCAGCACATCCCTGCGGCCCGCTCCAGTTCTTGCAGCTCCCATTGGCCGGGAATGGCAAACCGCAGCCACTGGGAGCTGAGGGCGGCATGCCAATGTAAACAAACTGTTTCACAGCCCGCGAGTGAATTACCACCACTGATTAACATGATATTACTATACAGACAACAAGTCAAAGTGTATGTTTTTTTTTGGTTTTGTTTTTTGTTTTAGAATAAGAGTTCTGTCTGGTAGAATATCAGAGTGGTGGAATGGATGATCAGGTGGTCCTTAGAAGATTACTGAGACTTTCACCTCTAATTCAGTCTATATCACTATGGACTAATAATCTTTGCCACCTATTGGCTGTCTGGCCATAACCTGTATGAAATGAGTTTGTGGTCTCATTCCAGTTTCCTGTTGAACCACAGAAGAGACCTGTATGTACATGATCAAATGCATGTTAATCGCAGATATGTCCTTTGATTAAGATCAGTTTTACCAGAGACCAAAAGGTGACTACAGCATTAAAAAAAAGTAGCATCTTGGTTAGCAATAATTTATATTTTTGGCACAAGACCAAGCAGGTGTGTCAATGACTAAAGGAGTTGAATACAATTTATTTTTAAATAACATTTTGGGTACAATTCAAATATGTCCTGGTCCACTATAGTACTGAACTGCAGTTAAGGTCTGCACTTCTTTGGAGCAGCTTACAGTAAGTTTGCAGTAAGGACTGAGCAACTAGAAACAGAAGCCAGCTAGCAAGATTACATAGGATTGGTATCTGAGGCCTGGTCTACACTAACCCCCCAATTCAAACTAAGGTACGCAACTTCAGCTACGTGAATAACGTAGCTGAAGTCGACGTATCTTAGTTCGAACTTACCGCGGTCCACATGCAGCAGGCAGGCTCCCCTGTCGACTCCGCGTACTCCTCTCGCTGAGCAGGATTACCGGAGTCGACGGCGAGCACTTCTGGGTTCGATTTATCGCATCCCGACAAGACGCGATAAATCGATCCCAGAAGATCGATTGCTTGCCGCCGAACCAGCGGGTAAGTGTAGACATACCTTCACTGAAATATTGACCGCTACTATAAAATTATCAAACTTTTATTTAATTAGAAACTGTTAGAAAAAACCCAAGGGCTTGTACTTTCCATTTTTAAAAAAGGACATATACAAAAGTTATATTGGACAGGAACCTCCTAACACTTCACAAATAAAATTCACCCCTCCCTACCCCCTTATATCCCCATTCAACCGCCACAGGAAAAGGTTGGAAAAAAATAGTAGGTCTAGCAGTATCTCCTGAAGTTCAACAAATTAATTTCTCTAATTTTGCCACCAAATTGCTCCCATTCCCTCTTCAAACTGGGGCACTGTTTTTTTAAATCTAGGCCTTTATAAGCATCAAGTCACCTGGGTATTCAAGTTCTATCACCATATCCATGCACTAGGCTGATTACAGTTGTCACGGTATGACACAAGGGGAGACAGACAAAAATATTGAGGACTTACTAGGTCAAACACCACCTTAAATTTTTCTGGAAAACCAACTGAAAACCAGAGCAGATCAAGCTATAGAAATAGAAATATAATGCTTCTTCACAAAAATAAAGCATTATACCTTTTACATTGGTTCTTTGGTTTAAAAAGTCACAGGTGTTTAGGTAAAATTTCACTCCAGTGGCCTTACTGTACCCAATTTAAAGGAATACTATATTACTATTCCAGTAGAACCTAGAGGCCCTAAAAGAGATTGTATAGTACCTAGCACAATGGAGCTCCAAACAGAGAAGAACTGTCCCTTCTCCAAAGAGCTGGGGGGGGGGGAGAAGGGGGACTACAAAACTTAACATAATAATCGTTGCTTTCCTCCCACCCTAAAATTTCAACAGTTATTTTGGAGTAAAACACTGGTGTTGGAAACTTAAAACAGCAGCAGTATTTGGGTAATATATGAGAGCTAGAAAGTAAAACTCACCAATCTAATGACAGATTTCAGAGTAGCAGCCGTTTTAGTCTGTATCCGCAAAAAGAACAGGAGTACGTGTGGCACCTTAGAGACTAACAAATGTATTTGAGCATAAATAAATTTGTTAGACTCTAAGGTGCCACACGTACTCCTGTTCTTTTCACCAATCTAATGTTATTGTCCAATATTAATAAAATACAAAGAACAAACACACAGCACCAACGGGTGAGAATTAAGTGGCATTTTTAAAAGCTACCCTTTTTAATGATCCCGAGATGTTTTTAACACAAGTAAAGGAATATTAAATAAACAGGTGTTTTAAGATGATAGTTTCAAAAATCATCTGTGCAGCACTGCAAGCTCAAGGAACCAGAAAGAGACACAATCTATTAAAACAATCACAGTAGCAGTGGTGTTCATATGCTTTTGTCAGTAACTCCTGAGCCACTTCACTGTGAGTTGCACCAGCTGACACAGACAGGGCTCTGACTGTTCGGAGTAAGCATGCAATGCGTTTTGTCACTGGACTGAGACGCTTTATTACCCCTGGGGTCCGTTTTCTGGACTGGAAAGAAAAGGCAGCCGAGGACGGGCAGAGAGGCGTTACGTTTTCACCCACTGGTGGTTCGTACCATAGGTACTGGGACTAGGGGTGCTGGGGATGCTGCCGCACCCCCCGGCTGGAAGGGGTTCCCATCACATAACAGGGTTGACAGTTGGGTTCAATGGCTCTCAGCACCCCCACTATACAAACTGTTCCAGCGCCCCTGTTTCCTAACCCCGCAAAACCCTTTAGACCCGGGTCACCCACCCAGGCGCAGGGGGGGAAACTTTTCACGCGGTGACTGACATTTCGGGGCAGCGGTTTCTCATCAGCCCGCAGAGAGGCCAGAGCAAGGCCGCGACCCGCGGGGAGGGGACTGACCAAAGCACAGTGACCGGCGCCGCGGGGGGAAGCCAGCAGAGCCACAACGTGTGCGACACACACACACCGCCCCGCCCCGCCGCTGGAGGGGGAAGGGCTCAGCTGTCACTTTCGCCTCTGGCGCGCGTGCGGGACGAGGAACCCCCCCCCCCGGCCGCTCCGAGCGGCCGGCAACGCCCGCCCCCCCGCTGCCCCTCCCCCCGCTCACCTAGGTAGTGTCTCCGCAGCAGACCGGGCTCCTCCAGCCCCAGGCTCCGCTTCCGCACGTCCCACAGCAGGTGAGGGCAGCACCTCCGGGACATGGCACCGCGGGGAGGGGAGGCTCAGACTCTCCGCCGGCGGCAGCCGCCCCCCACGCTCACCATGGAGACCCAGCCGCCCGCCCGCGCGGTACTCGCTCGCGCACGCACCCGCCTGCCGCTGAGCCGCCACCGAGGAACGAGCGACAGCGGCAGCTCCTCCGCTCCCCGCCCCCATCTCACCCCGCCCCTGACTCCGCCCCTGCCCCAGCCCCAGTCACAGCGCTCGAGACTTACACCTATCGCGAGAACGTGACCATTTGGCTTTGTGGATTCAGACGGTGAAGTCATACAGCGGCCATCTTGTATTTGGGCACAAAAAGCCGCCTAAACTTCCAATGTCTTTCATCTGCGTCTGCCATCTTGGCCGGGGCACCGAAGCGCGAAGGCAGCCATGTTTAGTTTGGGTAGCACGGCAGCCAGAATGGAAAGGATGTCCCTGCCCTTATCAAAGATGGCCGGAAAGTTTTTTCCCTCCCCCCAAATAGACGTAGCGTCAGCTCCCTCCACGCAGGGAGGAGCGCAGGGGGAGGAGGAGGTCCTGTTAACTGCTCGACCCCGCCCCCTCGCCTCCCAGCGGACCAATCAGCGTGAAGTAAAGCGGGGTCCTCCTCTCGCGAAGCGGCGTCGGGACGTGAAGGGCGGCTGGGAGGGAAGCCGAAGGGCGGCGGGTCGGGGAAGGACGCTGGAGCAGCAGCCGCTGCTGCTGTTACTGGGACCCCAGAGTAGCCCGGGGCCCTCTCTCCTCTCCCCGCCGACATGGCCGCCGTCGCGGGGCTCCGCGCCTCCTACCACCGGCTGCTTGACCGGATCGAGCTCAAGCTGCCGCCGCGGCTGCGGCCCCTGTACAACCACCCGGCAGGTACCGGCTGCGCCGCCCCCGGGCGGATGGGGGAGGGCTGCGGCTGCGCCCCCTTCGGCTGGGCCGGGCGGGACCCCGCTCACCCTGCCCGAGGGGATGACGAGCGCTCGGGGCTCCCGGCTGGGCGCGCTCCGGCCTGTCCCCGGGGCTGGCTGCGGGCGGCGGTCCCGGGTTTGAGGCGCTGGGAGCCCCCCAGCTCGCGGCACAGAGAGGGTGGGTCGGGGCGGAGCCGGAGCCCGGCTGGGGCTCGCTGTGACCTTGGCCCGGTCGCTCCATCTCTGCACCCCGCTTTCCTTGGCCTGTGGGAGGGTAGGGTGGTACCGCCCCGGCACCTGCTTCTTTCCTGACAGACCCGGTAGCCCTGCGAGACCCTGGGCCGGGAACAGTGACAGGTCGAGCGCCCCGGGGCCCCACACCTACCGGACCGGGGGTGCGGGGCGGGCAGAGGTTGGGTTTCTAAAAAATCGTTTTTGAATGGTAAATTGGGGCAAACTTATGAGGATTTGCTCTTCTCTAGGACAAGGCAGCTCAGAAAGGGCCTTCTGTTAAGGAGGGTTCAGCTGTGGGATGAGCTGTTGGGGGAGTTCAGACCCACCCGGAGCCTAGCTGCCTTCGGGGAGTGTTACAAGATCTCTTTGGAAAAGCTCTCTGATCTTCACCAGAAAGACTTTCTTCAAACGTGTTTATATTCCAAACAGAGCTTCCTGTAACCAGAGAACGGTGAAAAGCAGAAGATCCTTAGTCTAGTAGGCACCTGGACATACAGACCTAGTGTACTGGGGAACTTGCTAAGAGTACAGGGATGGATGTAATAGATCACTATACAATAACTAAGGGATCCTATAGTATCTTATTGCTTTTCTGATCTTGAAATGCACTTTGCAGTCTCAATGATCAGTAATATTCGTTTCTGAAGGAACCCAGGTGGATTTAAAAAAAAACATTTTTTTTGAGGCAGGGAACCTGTTGGACATAAGGATATCACTTATGGATATGCCGCTACAGGATTGTTGCTGTGGTGTTTAGCATCAAATTGACAGACACTAGGTTTTTCTTTAATAGTTGGTCTACACTTCTATAGAGTACGTGGGGGGAAGTATTGGGGAAACAATGAGTGGTATTGTTGCTCTAACACAAATTAGCAAGTTTACTTTACTTATGGGAACATCCTCTGCAAGCTTTGAAATGAATTTATTTCCCTTTAAAAAGAAAAATCCAAAAACTTGTGACTCTTCATTAACTGCAGTGGGATTTCTAGCTAGTTATATGTAAACATATTAAGTGTGTTGATACTGCCATTTTACAAATAGTCTAATAATACAATAGAGATGATGCTGACACAGGTCTGAACTTGTTAACCATAATCTTCTTCGGATCAGTCTGACTGAGAAAAGGGAAAAGAAACAGTAGGGGTCTCTTATCTTCAAGTATAATCCTTTAAAAACAAACTGCTGCTTGTCTTCATTTTCTTATCTGAGATGAGCCACTTCTGGCTCAACCTTTGGCTTCCCCTATGTGCAGGTTCAGAAGCTAATGCTCTGTAGTTGAAGTAGCTTTAAAATAAAAGAAGCCAATGACGTTTCTATTTAAATAAAAAACTACCTTCACCTGCTTTTTTTTCCTCAAGCAAATGTTGTGTTAGTGGCTAGAGGAGAGCAGGGGGGCAACAAATGCTGTTCAATTATTTCGTTGTAGATTTTGCCATTTATGCAGTACAAAGTAAAGCTTTTTTTCCCAGCTGGCAAAACAAATAAGTGAATATGTCTTGTCTCATCATGAGTGATGTATACCACTGGAGCTATTTTATGAATCGTGTGGATCTCTTTAATATCTTGCATTTCCCTAGGAGTTTAGATTTGAGCCAGCAAGTGTCTTGTTTAGTGCCCTTTTAGGAAGGGAGGGGGAAAATTAGGAGAAAGGTCTTGAGACAGGAGAATCCAAGAAGATAAGTGGATGGATCATGTGTCTTCATGGACTTAAACGGTAGATAAGCATGTCTCTTCTTATGTGACCAATTCTGCGCACATACCCGGGAGCAGGAGTCTCTAGGAGTGTTTGAGGGAAGAAGTTGGCCAGACATTCAAAATGACTACAGTTAACAAGCAGTAAAGAGTCCTGTGGCACCTTATAGACTAACAGACGTTTAGGAGCACGAGCTTTCGTGGGTGAATCCGAAGAAGTGGGTATTCACCCACAAAAGCTCATGCTCCTATACGTCTGTTAGTCTATAAGGTGCCACAGGACTTTTTGCTGCTTTTACAGATCCAGACTAACATGGCTACCCCTTAACAATTCTCTCTTTTTAACCAGCATGAAAGCATGCACTTCTATTTTCCTCAGTATCTTTTATTTGTTATCAAGGTAGATAAGTTACAACTGAGTGACTACAGTACCATACAAGTGGTTCTTCCATTTTAGAATCTGCTATGTAAATAGATTTCACAAGATACCTGAGGAAATGTGAAGTCTTCCATGGACTGCTCTTTACACTGTTTTTCTTTAATGTAATACATGTTCTTGACTTTTCATCTATCCAGAATGTGTTCTTGGGTGCATCATGATTATGCAGTAAGGGAATTTAGCTTTCAGTCATTGGGTCATTTTTCTACAACAAAAGTCTTCTCTCAAAATAAAGATTGCACTGGTTTAACAAGAATTGGTTCAAATAGTTTAGATTAATTTAGATCAGTGCAAACCCTTGTCACCAAATTGAGCAACTGTGTCCAAAACCTTTCTGTTATACTAAGCCGACCAAAAATGAAGCCAATTTCAGTTAGATGGTCCACGGTGATGATACTTCCTGGCATGTACATACACTCTTCATTTAAACTGCATCATCAATATTAAAGATTGTAAGCTACATTATGCAGGTTTGTGAATTTGGCCTGTGAGTTGAACTTCGGCCGTTCCTGCTCCATGCCTTTTCTAAATGTTGAAGCTGGAATTCCAAACTGTTATAGTGATCCTGTTTCTAAAAGAAAGATGTCCTTGTCAAAAGAACAATTGTCACAACGTGTATAGGCAGCTTCAGTGAAGGGTCAGTGGGTATGGAAACTGAACTTCTTACTTTTGCCCCTTCTGTACCTGCTCTATGAATAAAGAGCTTCGTTTCCAGGGCTATTGAGCACATTTAACTAGAACAAAAGCCATCCAACGTGGAAATATACTTGTTTGTACTAAAAGGAAAGTGCTTAATGTACAGTCATCTGTCCTTGGTGAAGCCTAGTTTGATGGCCTCGTTTGATAAGTGACTTTTTACCTAGATTCTAAATCGCTTGTGTCTGACTAAGAGAAATCCCTTTACTTTGACTTGTAGAAAACTTTGGCTGAAATGCTAAAAAAAATCTTGCATTTGGGTAATGCTTTTCAAACTAATTAAGGTTGCTAGAAGACAGTGAAAGCTTCTGACAAATGGGAGGTGCCAAGCCAACTCCCCCACTTCCGATTGGCTGCCACTTGGTGGAAAGCTAGTGTTAGCAGCAGAGAGATGTGACTTGGCTTGTGTTCTGTCATGTGTTCACTGTTTAAAGCATCTTAATCAGGGATGGATAGTCAGATTTCAGCCAGGGATTCATGAACGACGCAGAGAGTCCATCTCTTGGTGTGACTTATATATTACTTCATCAGTGTACTGTCTGTTCCTTGTTAGGAGCAGGAAGCATATATTCAAAATAAGGTGATCTTGTATTTTTATGACCCAAATTTATCCCTGATGTAATAATAGTTACACTAGGGACGAAGTGTAGACATGTGTAATACATTCCAAGCTTCATAAAGTGTCTTTAATCAATTTATTTTTATTATGATGATCAAAATGCATGTGGAGGCTATCAATTAATCAAAACGCAGCACTTTTGTCACATTCTTGAGTTACTTCTCTTCTGAGGAAGAGCTTACAAACAAACCGTTCTCTCCCTCCTCTTGAGTCTCTGAATCAACTCACTGTCAATTTAAAACCCCATTAATAATTTCAGGAGCGTTTTCTTGAGGGTTTTGTCAAGATTTTTTTCAAGTATTAGTTTTAAAATTCCAATCAGATTCACATGCAACTTTTCCCCTCAAGTGCATGTGTGCTGGCTTATGGGATTTGTTACTGATCATTGCATTTGCTGCAGGGACACTGAAGTATTTTTAGGGGAAAATACATAGAAAATAATTAGATGTTTGCATAAATACATGCTTGGAAGCTTGCAGGCCCTATCACAAATACTAAACATAACTTGAACAGGCATTTTCCTGAATGTAGGAGTAAAACATCACCCACACCAGCATAAATGAACATGAAAATGTTTGTGGAAAAACCCCACCATAATCTGGAAGAAATAGGTACTGGACTTTATTGCATGGAAGAATGCCACTGATGCTCAGGCAAGCATATGAGAAAGAAAGCATTTGAATTTGGGGGGCCCTTGATTAAGATTATGCTATGAGTGCTTAGCACTTGAGCCTACTAGTTGCTGTCACAGGTGGATGTAGGTCCATGGCCTGGCCCTCAGACTGGTCTTCTCTTTCTTAAGGCTTTAAATGCTATGACCTTGACATGCAGTCAGTAAATAGGCAGTGCGTTTACTCAACCCTGTGCCACTCCAGGTTCCAAAATAAATACAGCCACATCCTCTGGAACAAGACATTATCCAGGCACCCTCCCTGGGAAGATCCTAAGACATAGCTGGAAGAAGTAGGTCAGACTTTAGACCTGTCTACCATTAGTGTTGCAAATCTAAAAGGCCTAGAAGGTGGATGGGAGGGAAAAGCTTAAACAGGAGTAAGGCTATGGATGAGTTTCCACACTGAGGGGGAAGTCCTAGCAGACATATTTAAACCTGATTTAGTAAAGAAACTTTCCAGGCAGTGTTGAAGGAGCCAGGTAAGGAAGCTTTCTATGCTATATAATCTATATAATAAGATTCAAGAATTGTCACTCTGTAGTCCAGGGGTGGGCAGCTTTTTGGCCCAAGGGCCACATCTTGGTATGCAAATTGTATGGTGGGCCATGAATG